ATGATGGAATATCATACATCTCACAAGTTATTGTGCCAAAAAACGCAATACAACATTTTGTATTGCGAGACGTTGAAATGACGGCTTAGATTAAAGTGATTATTACGTTTTGAATATGGATATTTTTCTTTCAAAAACGCATCGATTCGCTACAGGAGGCCTTTGTTCACCCCCCGGAGCCGTGTGAGGCGCTTTTTTTTAATGGGGGGGCGCTTTTTATTTAACTTCTTTTGGACTGATGAACTGCAACACCCGCTGAGTGGCATTAAACAGCTTGAAAGATCAAAGACAATTTTTAATATAACTCCGACTGGATTCGTCTGAAAGAGGATATACACCTAGGATGCCTTGAGGGTGAGTAATTTATGGCCTAATTTTAATTTTTGTGTGAACTAACCCTTTAAATAACCTGAAGTTGTAGTATATTTTAAGTCACATTTTTAAGTAATTTTTAAGTTTACTTCTTCATGCTTGGAATTCACTTCATTACTTGGAGATACATTGCTTTCAGAAAGTAATAAAACAAATAAATAAATCGAATGCATTATAAAGTGTACAGTCAAGTAAACAGTGTCTATATTGCATGGCCAAAAATTTAAGTTCACTCACTCTGCATTAATATTATATTATTGCATTATTATAACATATCATTATACATTTTATGGAGAAATAAAGCTGAAAAACAACAATTGGCATTGATATCTGTATAAAGCTGCAGAAGTTCCCATAATCAGTTTTTAGTATCTTTCAATAGTCTATTGTTTGGAAGTGGAATGGCACACAGTTTTTCCTTAGACCTAATAATTACACATTTCCATTTGTGTGATTGAGGATGGACAGCAAATACATTATGAGACACTATATAAATGTTGAGGATATATTTAGCCCAACATCTCTAAAACATTTTCCTCCACGCAAGATCTTTATCTAAAACACAGAATCTGTTTGTGGTGGATGCAGAAGATGCCCCATCCTCACACTTGAAAGCCACCAGGGTCATAATTTCACAGAATGTTCCATCACTTAACTATAGGCTACAACAGAATTGTTTCTCTTTTTAAGAGTCGTGTTATTACAGGAATGATAAAGAACACCTCTCACTGAAAAAAAAAGAAGAAGAAGATTTTTTGATGCTGTTCACTTTGTTTAAACAATTTGTTTTGATTTAACACCATTATATCAGGTTTCCTGTTGAACAGACTTGAAACATTTTTGGCTTAACTCGATGTTTTCATGTCGAAAGAGCGTTTCAATCAAATAACTCCATGGTTTCTAATTTATTTTAAATAATGTTTTCTGAGAAAATATGTTTGTATAGAGTAGGGCTATAGGTTACTATAACTAATTAAAAGCTAATCAAATAAATACATAAACTATATACATAAATCTTTCATTTTACCCTTACAAAAATATCCTTCAGGAATTCCTGAAGGAATGCTGCTTTCTGTGCAGGGATCATGCAGGAATCCTGCAGGACAGTACTAAATTCCTTCAGGACAGAGACATTCCTACAGGAGTCCTGCAGGATTGTCCACACGTTTGTCCTGCAGGACCGCCCCACTACATACAGGAATTTTGAATTCCTGTAGGATTAAATATATATCTGTAGGAAAATTTAGATTTTTT